AACTTGAAACCCATTCGTCAATGATTTTAATGTATTTAGGAACTACAAAATGTAGAAAGGAATGTATATGATGAGATTAACTAGAGTGGGTGGAAAAGTGACAGGTGCTCTTCATTGGGCAAGACCGGTTATATATTAGAGAAAATAGCCTAAGTTAACTCTATACGATAATGATGCATTAGAATTATGTCCTTTTAGAGCTTAAAAAAAAGAGATAATTTAATGCAGCTGCCTGCTTTGAAAGATTGGAGAAATAAGCAGGGAGTGGTGAAGTCCTTTAGGTTGTTTTCTACAAGGTTAGTGAATTCGTGGCAAAGCTAGAGCGCAAACCTGGAATGATTGGCTTCTAGTTCAGTATCTTTCCAATTGTAAAATAATCATGTTAAGCCTAGAAATGAGGCTTGCAAATTGTTTGGGATAATCTCTTAAAGCCTTTGGCCCTCTGTGCTATGACCAAAGGGGCAAAACACTTCGGATATTTTCAATAAAGGCTTTAGAAACAAACCAGGAAATTTTAATCTCTTTCTTTTTGTAAAAGTATTATACAACTGTCTCTGGAATATTGCAGAGAAATGAATGAAATATCATTTCCTTGGTAGTGGCATATTTTATTCATCCTTTATATTCCCAGTGCTAAATACACAGCTTCTAATAAATAAAGCTTCTAGTAAATAAATTTAGCTTCCACTAAATAATATTTGTTGAATGAATGAATAACACAGCATTAAAAGTTATAAAATATAGGACATGATACTATTTTCAAAAGAGAGATTTTTTTTTCATTATTTAAATAGAGTATTGTGCCAAATAAGGCATAATAGAAGAGCAGAAAGACCATCCATTATATTTTGGATTTCCTATTCAGTTGTCTTTTCAGGAGATAGTGCTCTGGGGGATGTTATCTTTTCAGATGTGAATTGATACTCAAGTTAGCAAGTAATTTATTTTGTCATAGCATAAATATATATTTCTTGGTTTCATGGTTGGTATATGTCTAGTTCATGAATTGCTAGACATTTTTGGAGAAAGGAAAAGCTCTTCCCTGCAATCTGATTGTATTTGATCTTTCTAGGGTCAGAGCCTCTGTATGGATCCAAAAAAGAATTAGTGGCAGATTAAATGGTTTCTGAGGCCAATTTTACTTGCTATTTTTTTTTAAATAAATTTTATTGTGTATATTTGAGATTTACAATATGATATTATGAGGTAAATATAAATAGTAAAATGGTTACTATGGTGAAGCAGATTAATATCTATCATTTCACTATCTATCATAGTTATGATTTTAGTTAAATTTAGTCATTATATAAATATAAAATTTTATTCAAAAATTTATATATAAATTATACACACAGAGATTGATTGATTTGTGTCAAGATCCAAATAATGTCCACACATTATGTTTGGTTGCGATGCCTTTCTAAGTGGATATGGTTTTAAAATCTTTTTAAGGATTGCTGATTTGATTGACTATTGATTTCTAGCTGAATTTTATTGTGATGTTACAATGTGTTAGCCGTTTGAAATTTACCAAGGCTTTCTTTATGGACTAATACACAGTCAGATTTTTAAATATTTCATGTTTGTTTGAGAGGAACATATAATTCTCTTATTATTGGTTGTGGAATTCTGCATTTGCCCATTAAATGCAGCTTTTTAATCCTAGGTTTCTCTTTCTCTTTTCTTACATCTTTTTTTTTTTTTTGAAGAGACCCAGTTGTTTGTCTTATAAAGTTTTTAATAGTCTGCATATTTCAATGAGCATTGTCCCTGTGATGTAGTTGAATACATTCTTCTTCTTCTTCCTTCTTAAACCTCTGTGTTTCCATAAATTGGTATCTGGATTTAGACAGTGACAGATTCAGAGTTGGTTTTCTTTTTCCAAGGCTATGTATGCATAGGTGGTGATACGTTCCTCAATCATGGGACTCGTAATAGTTGTCTTCTTTTTTGTGATGTTAGCAGCCATTGATGTTCAGTGTCTGGATCCCTTAGTTCATTAAACATTGTAAAATGATGGTCCAATTGTATTATTCCTTCTTTATTTACTGGCTGGAATCCTTTTATAACAAGAACTTACCCTGATTTATTATTTATCTACCCAGTGATACAGTTTTTTATATGAAAGGTATGATAGATGCGTATTTCCCTGTATTTGCTGGTTTTCAATATGGTCAGTTTGTTCTCTAGCTTAATCTAATGGTGATTATCTCTTTTAAAAAAGATATCAGTATCTCTGATAAATGGTGTCTGTGTGAGCTCAATGATTTAAACATATTTAATGTTTCAGTCCATAGCATTCATTATTCTTATTGATGTGCAAATCATTGCCTCCTTGGCCAGTGGAAGCCTTTGCAGTTTTTTTTTTTTTTTAACAACCACAGTAATCTTTGATAACTTTTTTGGTATGTGGATAAGATGATGTTCCAAGCTCATCGTTTATTTCTTCATTTCTCCAAAGTGCCCTGATTCCTTTTAATGAGAAATGTTATTTCGAAATCAGATTGTAGATGGCTGGGGTGTACGTTTCTACAGGATTGGTCATTATTTCTAAACCTTTCATTGGACAAAATTAGAAAATATACACATTTGTGAATGTGTGTGTTTTTATTTAAGATGAAATGCATTATAGAGTTTAAATTGATACTTCTTGTCCAAATTGAGCACCATAAGGGTAACTTTTTTCCTCCGAAATCTTCCTTTTTCCTTCCCCACAAATCCCATTTTCTTAAAGATGTCAGGGATGGCAGAAGTATAATATCTCTTATCACTCATATGCTTCGTTCCTCATCAAGTCATCTCAGAGTAGCAGTACTAAAACTGTTACAGCATGGTCACTGAAAACATAAAGAATCTAATGTTTTACTTCACTTCATTGTTTATATTGTTTCTTCTCATGTCAATTTTGATAAATTACACTTTTTTATAGGAATAAATGCATTTGTTCTAAAAGCTCATAGTGATTGGCACAAATTTGTTCTGTATTGTTATCTTTTTTTTTAATATCTACCCAAGATTGTACTTCACTTACTATATTTTAAACCGTTGCTGTCAATAAAGTTGTATTCTCCTTTTCATTCTTACGGTTATTTGTGCCTTTTTTTCTTCTTGCTTTTCCTTATGAGAACTTTGTTGATTTCATTAGTCTTTTCAAGAAACAAATTTTGGCTTTTTTGAGCCTCTGTAACATTTCTATTTTATATTCCACTAATTTCTTATTTCTCACCTCCTTCTTTCTATTTCTTTGGATTTATTCTGTCTTTTTCCTCCCCTACCTTCGTAGGTAGGTCACTTATCTCACTATTCTCTAGGCTTTCTTTCCTAATGTAAATATTTAAGGCTATTAATTTCATTTCATGTATTATTATCAATAGCAATTTGTTGTAAGCTCTAATTCGATAGAGTCCATTGTCTCTGATAGTTTTATGAATTTTTCATATTGTTTTTGGTATATTCCTGAGGATAATTTTTTCTCCCTGTTGGCAAAGCAGTTTTGGTAATTTTCCCTCATTTATTATTTAAATTCAGGCCAATATAAACTCCAAAGCCTTTACTCCTTCTATGATACCATGTAATACCCATTCAGCAGAATCCAAAAATAAATATCTGTGGCATAGACTACCAGTTGTCTCCCCCAGTATCCATTTTTCCTTTCTTCCTTAGTGATAGGACCCCTGTTTTTTATAGCTGGGCTATAAATAGCAGGGCACATGACTACCCACAATAAGGACTTCCTTTCCCAACCTTCCTTGAAGCTAGGTATGGCCAAGTGACAAAATTCAGAAAGGTGAAATATTATTATATTATAATTTCATTTATAGTAGGGATGTACCTAGTTTTGCAAATTGGGTCTGTTTCTCAATTTTTCTTTTCCTCCTTTCTTTTTCTCTTAATTTCTCTATAAGTCTTCCTTAAGTTATTTTTTCTTTTTTTAAAATGGCAGTTTTCTTAAGACTAATTTATATAAAGTAAAATTCATACCTTAGCATACAGTTTTATGAGATCTTACAAATACACAGTCATATAACCTTTGCCACAATTAAGATACAGAAGAGTATCCAAAAAATGTGCTCCCACATTCTGTAGTTAACCCTTCCACTATTCATGTCTGTTTTTTCTTCAGCTTCAAACTAGTTGGTTTCTCTGTGACTTCAGCTTTCTTTGGAGTTCCAAAAAAGTTATAATTTTACAGATTATTTGGCTTTTGTTGTCATTAGGGAGGGAATGATGCTCTTTCCAGCTGGGTAAATTATTTTTCTTATCAAGCCATTTTTAATAAATTCAAATTTCCACATATCATTTTACATTAACCCCAACATTTGAATATCTCCCACAGATGTATTTTCTTTTATATTCAAATATATCTTCTTTGAAATTTTATTTAGTTCTACAATGGTCTCTTAGGTACTTACCTAATTTCTATTTCAAATCTTTTAAAGATTAGTGTTAAAAAATTATTACTTTAATATGTAAGTTTCCAGTTTATGAATTCTCTGACCTTTTCTAGCATATGTTATCCTGAGTTATACTTTGTAACCAGAGGACTTGTTTTGTTCATATATAATCAAAGGAATGTTAGAAAAACTTCAAAGTGTATAATTTTTTGATTACCAAATATATTCTTTATTATACTTATCATTTTAGTGTACCTAGCTAATTTTGAGGTGATATAAAAATTCTTTGTTCATTACATCATTGTGTTAAGGAATTGATTTTTATTACCAAGAAATTGTTAATATTGATAAAATATTTTTTGAAAATATTTTAAGTGAACTGCTAGTATCTCTTGTTTTTTAAAATGTAGTATTTTAGTGTTTGATAGATTATTTTTTAGCAGGTATCTACAACTTATTGAATTGATTTTAAATGATGTCTTTACTAAATAATGTGTCATCATTTTGAAATAATATTGCATATTTTCACCCAATTTTACCTAGTCATTACATACATGGAGTTTAACAGCAGTTTACTAAATATAATATTTTCTTTCTCTTTTTTAGGTTATTTTAGTGTCTGCCAATAAGTTGACTCGTTATATAGAACCATGCCAGTTAACAGAAGATTTTGGTGGGAGTCTCACCTATGATCACATGGACTGGTTAAATAAGAGGCTGGTTGGTATATTACAATAAGATAAAATTTTATTGCATATCAATAAGATATTTTGATAACTATCATTTTAGTCAACTAAAATGGAGATATATAGTACCTACCACATTATAGCTTATGGACAAGTACAGTGGAGTCAGACTTATTAATAGTTGATTACAATCCTGATGCCAGTTGCTAAGTATATGACCTTCAGCAATGTATTGAATCTCTCCTTGCTTTGGTTTCCACATCTCTAATATGATTATGATAATAGTACTTACCTTGTGGGACTGTGGGGAAAATGAAATGAATATACATATAAAGCACTTAGAGCAGCACCTGATATAGTAGTACTATATAAGTGTTAGCTATTACTGTTGTCATTAGCAGCATTAGTAAAGGTTGTAAATTTTTTCAGTAGAATAGCAGAGTAGCATAATTTCTTGAGAGGCAGTCTAGTTGACATATCATTTTCAGAGGTCTAGTTGACATACCATTTAAACAACTGGAATTATCAACTTGAAAAGCAGTTTGACAGATTAAATTTTTTCATTTCTGAAAATTTATCTTCTTTGTCAGTCTAGACTTTTAAAATAAGCTACTCTATATAATTCAATGTTGTTTTAATGAACTGCTAAAAGAACAAACTTCAAATTAACTCAGTTTGGATTGTATGCTGATTTTACAGGAGAATAGTAAACTTTTGGTTTTCTCTGAATGGATAACCATTTCTATTTCCACTGTATTTGAAAAGTATTACCAGACAAGTCGTTGTCTACTTTATTACATATCAACATACCTGCCCAAATACCTTTTTAGAAATATTTGAAGAAATCATATTAAAATTATAAAATTTATTTGTACGCTACATACTTGTATATAAAACTCTTAAGTTTTACAAGTAAGCAACATGGCTTAGTGATGGACTAACAAAGAAATGCTCTATGACTGGTATTAGAGGCTTAGAACTTGTCTAAATAACATTTATATAGTTACAGCTGTCATTGGTGCAATTGTTTCTCAAAGAAACACAGGAATAAAAATAAAACTGTCACAATGGAGAATAAAAATAATTTCTTTATGATTTTAAATTTTAAAAATTCCTTATTTTTTAAACTAGTCATTGTCTTAGGAAGCAGTTTTGTCTTCTCTTGCATACAGTGTAATGCTGTTGTGGTCAAATTGCGCTAAGTGATGTCCAGGAAAAGTAAGGAATCCTGGCTGGCTGATTCTGTTGGCTCTTAACTGACGATCTTTGTTTCACATTAATTTTTAAGATTATTCTTAGGATGTTAATAAAATCTCATATTGTAGGTTTTTGAGAAGTTTACAAAGGAATCTACATCATTATTGGATGAACTTGCTTTGATTAACAATGGAAGTGATAAAGGAAATCAGCAAGAAAAAGAAAGGTTGGTGGCTAGTGGCCTGCAATTATATCCTTGCAAAGCTGTGATTAATCTGATAAAAGATACCTCTATGTTAATGTGAGCTAGAGGAACTACAGTAAACAAGTCTGTATTCAATCAAAATCAAATTCATGAGAATTGACATGTAAAATGTATTGATTTGAATCAGTTTCTTTACAAAAGCCATTTTTTGATGAATAGTAATATATTTACCTTTTACTGACACTGTAAAATGTTCAGTTATAAGAATATATTTTCATAATAAAACAATTTTCTACCTTTTTAGAGTTCTAGTCTTTGCTGTTGAAGAATATGAAAAAGGTTGCAGCTTGATATAAAATTATTATAACCTTATTTAAATACATTAGCACTTAAATGTCTAGCCTGTAGAACTTTCTCTGTCCTTTGTAAAATATGTGATATTCATGAGTTCAACTTGGTAAATTTAGTGTTTTATGACATGGGATGAAGTAGTAGTTGAATTGTATTATCTAAATGTAACTATGTAGATTTATCATTTTAACAGATTTCCATTGAACTTTACAACCTTGTCAGGTTTCATTTTTCTGTTAGTACGCCAAGCTCCTCTATACTGGTAAAAAGCACTTTAGGAAGCAAATTAGCTCTTCCTGGTCTCTTGATTATTACTGGTCACTAGAACAGTAATTTTTCATTAAGAAATTTGAAAGCATCAACAATCATCCTTGTCTATCTATCTCCTTTGAATCTGACCTTGAAAATACAGTGGAACCTTGGTAAAATGCTTCGTATTATTCCATAAATCTAAATGTAGTCACATATTTATTAACTGAGATAATAAGGTAAGAGAGATGTAATAAGATAGTTTTAATACCAAATCTTGATTAAAACAAAGTCAAAATGTGAAAAAAAAATGGTTTGAATGTAAATCTAGTTAAAGTTAACCATAGCAGTTAGGAACATTACTATCCTATAGATGCCATATAAAAACATAAAATTATAAAATTTTGCATATATATTAATATAAATATAGAATGTGTACAGGGGTATCACACACACATATACACTATGGTTTAGGAATTTAAAATGTCACACAGGTGACTTAATAATAATTAGGTAAACTTCTTTGCTTTCTGATTAGTCCATCACATTAAATTTAATATTTCTTAGTTATATTCCCCAGGAAAGACATCCCCAGAGGGTATTTGTAGAAAATGAATTCATAGTCAAGAGTTTAATGCTGTTGACCCTTATTTCCCTCCCTGAGAATGACTGTGAACACTGCAGATTACAGGTTCCGAGGAAGCACTGCAGAAAAGAAACCTGTTTAATTGCTTTCTTAAAACTTCTCATACTTACATGGCAATGGGACCCCCTTTTTTTTACCTAATAATATCGTTTTGTATTTTGGGAAACACTTTGGAAAATGTTGGTTTGCAAGACTGCATGAAATATCAAGTGAAATCTTGTAGTTGCCAATCCTTCCTCAAGGAATTTAAGTGTTATTGCTTAGTTTATTTTAAATCCAGGATAATAAAGTTCCTCCTCTTATAAATTTTCATCAACCTTCTTTCTTTATGTCAATCCTCAGGAAGCATCTAGCTATACAAGATGTGAGGGCCTAATCAACTGACAGAAAGTGAAAAATTTAGCTCAAGACCAGTTAGTTACAGCTGCACGGTCCTTGGCTTTGACTTTCCTTCATCTTCTCTTTCCCCTATGTGGTTAAGAAAATAAAGACAGAAGGCCAACTGCACAAGAAACATGAATAGAATAAGAAAGAGAGTGCAACTGCTGGGACACACACACACACACACACACACACACATACACACACACACACATACACACACACACACACACACACACACACACACACACACACACACACCTGAAATATTAGAGAGAATATTTGCAGCAAAAGTTTCTGTACGTAAGTAAAGTTTTGATTGGAGGATAGCTCCATACATTTTTAACATTGTGTTTCTGGGTTAGTATATACTTACAGGTTTCATTTTGAATCTTCTGATCTATAGTCAGACACTTTATTCATTGCGCCACTGGCCCCTGTACTACAAATTTCATTTTGAAACAAATATTCAGTGGATAAATAATAAATGGATCACTTTGATACATTTGAAATAATGCTATAATTAATAACAATAAACTATATTTTTCCAAGTATTATATTTTATGATTTATCACATTGGTATTTCTCTGGCTACTATTATTTAATTTTCTCTAATAGACTTTCTTATGCTTAAGAGAAATTAGCATGGTGGCATAATATGCTTCAGGTTATCATATTTGTGTGCCTTTGTTTTGATATGTATGTATAAAGGAATTCCTTAAATTGTATGGATAGAAATATAACTTTAAAAATTACTCTTTTGGTGCTTGCCAGGTCTGTGGATTTAAACTTTCTTCCATCAGTTGATCCTGAAACAGTTCTTCAGACAGGTAAGATGAAAAAAACATATTTATTAATGATCATAATCCAGTAAGCCAATTGGATTGGTTGGTTCATTAAATAAACATTAATTCAGCATGTATGTGGTACATGTGGTGGTAACTCAGGAGGAAATTTTTCAAACTGCTTTTTGGTTTAATCTGACAGTGTGTTAATATACTCTATAATATTTAAAAAATTTAATAATGATAAATTATTTGGATTATTTCTTTATCTGTAAAATTAGTATAAAAATTTCTATTTCAGTGGGTTGCTGTAGGAATAATTGAATACTTATTATGTGCCAGGCATTGCATTTTTATGTATTTTCGTATTTCATTCTTCTAGCAACCCTTTGAGATAATTAGTATTATTTTCTCTATTTTGTACTTGAGGAATAGAGATATAAAATAATTTTCTCAAGATCAAGCTGTCAAACTGTTGAGCTCTAACACCACAGCTCAAAATAAGTCTAAATTCAAAGCCATTAGCTAAACTGTTCTACAGTCATCTATATAAAAACACTTAGCACCTTGTAACTCCCTTGTACACAGTGAGTGCTCAGTGCTGCCTGGTAGTATATTCTAGCCCAAATATCTCTTGTAGTAGTTTCACATATTCTAGGAGAACAAATTGTAATTATTTACAATGGAAATACCTTAATTTTATTTCTAATCAATTTTTTTCTAATAGCTCATAATTCTAATGCTACTGTGTACCAGGCACTGTTCTAAGCACTTTACGTATGTTAACTCATTTCTTCCTCCACAATCCTGTGAAGTAGGTACTATTATTGTCCCAACTTTAGGATGGGGAATCTAAAGCATAAAAAGGTTAAGTAACTTATGAAGGTTATACAGCTAGTAAATACTTGAGTTGGGTCTTGAATCGAGGCAGTTTGGTTCGAGGCAGAATCATTATGTTGTGCTGCTTCTCTAATGGAAACAGTATCCACAAGGATAATAGCTGTCGAAGTAGAAAAAAAGAAATGTATTCAGATATTAATGGCTTTTATGAATATATATAAAAAGACTTTGCACAAATCTTTAAAACAAGTATCTTTCCAATTATAAAATGTAATGAAGAATAAAGAAATAAATTCTGAATATCTTTGTTCTGTTGACTCAGTTGTCTTATGTTTTTCCAGTATGATATAAATCTTATTTCTTTAGATGACAAAGAAATACTTATAATCTCTGAATTATTATATGTTTAAAAGGTACAGTAGACTGTTAGTAATAATACTGTTCTAAATTTAAAACTTAATTCCATGTATGTATTTAACATTTTGAAAGCTGCTTATTGTAAGCCATTGAATTAAGAAGCTTTTAAAGTTTGTATTTAAAAATTAACTTAATATACTACTAGGTTCTGTTTTATATGGTATTAACTCTTAAAGTAGGGATTGAAAGAGAGTATAAAATAGAGAGATTTAGAATAATCTTGGATGTTTTTTAGAAATTGGTAATATTTCCAAACTGTAATAAAAGTTCTGCTTCTATATATCGAAAGCCATTTAAATTTAGGATATTTTTCTAAGTAAAGATAAAGAAAATTTAAATATCTGTCTATTGTTTTTGTATCTAAATATTTATCAGAATAATGGATATAAATAGAGATTATTTATATCTATTTATCTTATAGAGATTATTTAAATATTATTTTTGTACCAGTAATAAAAATTCTCCCTTTAATCATACATTTGTTACAATTTTTTTTTAAGTGCTGTGATTAAGAATATGGATTAATACTGAAATCTTACAGCATATTGCTTTGATTAGTGCCATAAGACAGAAATCCTAGAGTATAAATTTTGCTCTACAGGGAAATAGGATTGGTTGGCACAGTATGCTGAGTAATGAATCTACCCATAACAAGAATATGATAGATAGATAAGTAGAAAATATATATATATTTCACATATATACTATATTTAATGTATAATATAGCATATATATAGTATATATATTTATGATATAGCATTTTAATATACTATCTAACTTGTATAGTATATATGTGCACATATATGCAGTTTTTCTGTTTATTGTGATACCTAAATTTTTAAGTTGCATTTCAGTACTCATGACCTTATGGGTAGGTAGGTAGACAGATAGGTTTTGAAAAACAAGGGATTAGAATTGAGAAGATTGAGAAATCAAGAGTTTTATTTCTTTATAGATATTAATTGTAAGTATCTTTTTTTTGTAAAGGGCATGAATTGTTATCCGAATTACAGCAGCGTCGATTTAATGGCTCAGATGGAGGGGTCTCCTGGTCTCCTATGGATGATGAACTGCTTGCACAGCCGCAGGTTATGAAATTATTAGATTCACTCCGAGAGCAATATACCCGCTACCAGGAGGTTTGCAGGCAACGTAGTAAGCGCACACAGTTAGAAGAGATTCAACAGAAGGTGATGCAGGTAGGTGTCTGATTTGAATATATTTAACTGTTTTTAATTCTAAATTTTTTTTCCTGAGAATTTCTACTATGTGACTGATGTTTTACCAAGTTTTATTTTATAGTATACAGAGAACCTTAGACATATCAAACTGGATTCTGAAACTATTTTTAATTATGTGTCTTTTTACAAATAGTATTTGCATTAAAATTATTTCTACAGTGATGACTGAGCATTCAGCTCACTCCAGAATGAACTTCTGAAATAACTAGTTGTTGGAAACATCATTCGTGGTTTCAGTGTATTCTTTCAATAAATTAACATTTGATTATTGAGATTTGGTTTATCCTTAATTTTCAATAACTTGTTAGTTTTTTTGTTTATTTAGGCATTATGAAGAGTTTTTCTTTCCTAGCAAAATAATACATGTAATGCAAGTAATTTTAATATTACATTTATTTTTTATGGCACTGATAGGAAATATTAAATGTATTTCTTACGAATTTTTAGTTTCTTTTGAAATTGACTTTTATAAGACAAGTAGGCCAAAATGCTAACAATTAATACTAGAGAAAGACATTTGTGTTATTTAGATTATACTCTGGATTTTTATCTGTTGAATAATTAAGAAAATAAATCTTTAAAATGTTTTATTTAAAAAATACAAATTAGAAAGATCCCAATGTTTTTATCCAGATTCATTCATTCACTAGATAAGTATTTATTAAGTGTTTTTTTATGTGAAAGGCATTGTGCTAGGCTTTATACAAGGTATAAAGATAGACTTGGCTTTTACTATCAGTAAATTTAAGGAGAGAAAGTGTTCAGCGTCACAAAGATATGACTGAAGTGCTATGGGAGTTTAGAGGAGATTATTTCTGTGACTGCAAACTATCTGGGAAGACTTAGTGGAGGAAGTAGCACTTGAGCTTGTCCTCCAAGAATGTGTGTGATTTCACCCTGCAGTGATAGGTTTTTAAAGAATTTTGTGGAGGATAAAGAATAGCGTGCGTAAACAGTAGAAGCATGAAATCCCAAACTGTGTTGAAGAAAAAGGAAGCAGTAGGCACAGTGGGAAGTTTATGGCCTTTTTGAGTCACAAAGCACGATCTGAGAGTGTGAACTCAATCCCAGTTCCTACACTTATTAGCTGTGTGATCATAGTCACATTGCCTTTTTTTTTTTTGAAAAAAACTTGAAAGAAAGGAAGCAGTTGGATCATGGAAAATGTTAAATTTCCAGGCAAAAGAATTTAGGCTTTATTCCATGATAATCTGTCTTCTTTATTTCTTTTCTTCCTCTCTTTCTTTCCCTATCCTCCTTCTTTCTTTAATTGAAACAGGGAAAACAATTATGAGTTTTGTATTTGTAAAGAGCATGACTTGTTATACATACCTCTTTTGAAAAGTTAGTGCTTGGGAAGAACCCAGCTATCAATTAATGGTAGCTATTATATTTAGTTCTGCTAAACTAGACTCTACTTTAAAGGTCTAGTTCAGTTGTTAACAAATATTTTCTGTAAAAGGACAAATATTTAGGCTTTGTGTACCAATGTAGTCTTTCTTGTAGCTATGGCTACTTAATTGTCCTGTTGTAGCCAAGAGCAGACATAGACATTATATAAATGACTGTGCATGGCTGTTCTTCAATACAACTTTATGTATAAAAACAGGTGGTGAGTCAGAATTGGCCTGCAGAATTGGTGTAGTTTATGACCTCTAAACTAGAGCATCAGGATGTCATAGGAAAAAAAAACTTGAAGGAAGGAGTTGGATCATGGAAGATGTTAAATTTCCAGGCAAAAGGACTTAGGCTTTATTCTGTGATAACCACATATAAACTTTAGTCATACATTATGTGTGACTTTTCTCTTGTATAAGTTAAAGACAGTTTATATTAAACCCAGGTAAGCTTTAACCAGTTAGCTTGAGATTATCTCAGAAAACCACAAAGATGGAATAGAATAGCATAGTGGTACAAAATTCAGACTGAACCTAGGGAATCTGGGTCCATCCTCTTTTTCCCCTTACAAGCTGCTTGAACTTTGGACCAGAGTCCTAGTTTCCTCCCCAGTAAACAGAGGATATTAATAACATAAACAATAATAGTAATACCTACTTAATTGGACTGTTACAAGGATTTAAAAAGATAATTTTTATAAAATGTTTAATGCCTGGAAGATAATGGGTCCTCTATTAATAAGTATATTAGTTTATTCATTCAAAACAAATGACATTGTGTTAGGCTCAGGAGTGTTGTAACGGTAAGTAAAAATAGACAAGGTTCTCACCTTTATGGTACATAATAACATGATGACAGAGTTGTGAAATTACAACTGTGCAAGTGCCAAGAGTGATGGCAGTAGGGTTAGGATAAGTAAAAGGAATCCAAAATACAGTCAAAAGGATTAGCAGTAGAATGGAAAAGGGAGAACTCCTGTGTTGTAACAGGAGGAAGGATGGCTAGGGTGAATCCAGAGGTGTCTCCGTGTGCAAATCAAGCATCAGGAAGTTGAAAGAGTTAATGTATGATGTGTTCTCTGTTTTTACATCACCTGCGTGGTGATATGCATTGGGGGGTAATTGAAGAGGATCAAGGTTTGAATGGAGAGGAGGTGATTCAAAATTTTCTCTGTAGGGGAATGGAAGGGTGAAACTATCACTGTCAATCTAAATAACAGAAAGAAGCTCTCTAAAAGAAAATGATGTCTATTTGGGAATAGAGCCTTGCAGTGGGAATACATGTGCCATAGTAAACCATGTGTGTATTCAGGGAGATAAACGAATACAAAGGTTTTTAAAGGAAAAAAATGAGGAAGATTATATAATTGTTCTGAAATAATTATCGGTGGCTACAAAGATCAATAACAAGGGTGATGCCAGTCTGAGGTTGGACAGGCAGTTGCTGGGTAGATGTTCTTATAGCAGTGTTTTTTTGTGTAAAGTTGTGATGGCCTCTGTGTAAGGTTGTGGTTTTTGTAGTCTTCTGTGATAGTTTTGGTTATCAGGCATAAAAGCACGAGAACTCTCTTTTCATGGCCTTCCTCCGCTCTGTTTGTCACAGATTTTGTTTGTTTGTTGGTTGGTTTTTAAAAACTCCATTTTGATCTTACAACTTTCATATCACAGAAATGTAATTGTATTTTGGGGTAGTATTGATCTTGAATTTATGGTAGAATCTTTCTGGCTTTTTAGGTGACCCTATCTGATAATTTGTGGCTGGCTGTTGTGGTACAGGCACAGAGAGAATTCATCCAGCAGGTGTGCTTTGCTAAATGGGATAAATGAGTATGACAGAAAGACAGAGGGGCAAAGGAATTAATGTATTGGCAAATGCATTTTTAAAATAATGGGCCAGCTCAATTGGATAAGGAAGAAACTAGAGAAAGGAGATTATGATTATATTTATAATGATGGTGTTGATGGAAGTGAGATTATTATCAAAAACAAGTAAATTTCATTACAATTCAGTTTTCTTCTTGAGAGTTATAGTAAATTGGTTAGAAAATTAATATTCAGCATGTAACGTTTCCTGCACTGTTTTTCACAGCTCACATTTTAAGGAAATATTTATTTCCCTTGCCAAAATGACTGCTATATTGTAACATATATTGAACTACACAGTAATATATATTTAACTACATAATAATATATATTGATCATATGTCAATCATACAGAGCATGAACTATACTGTCTTTGGTCTTGCAAATTTGAGGAAAATGTAAAAATATTTTTTTTTGCTTCTATAGAAATAATTATAAATTGAATATCTCTATTTATGTTAAATCAGTGAAAATTGAATTATTCCAAATTTATTTTTTTACTGAGTTGATCACTAAACCATAATGCAAGAGAAATTGACAGCTCTGATATATAAACAATATGATAAGTAAAACTATGATAGTTATCAGTCAATTACTCCCATGGTTCAAATCAGCAGCACCAGACTTCATGTGGTATGCAAAGGTTCTCCATAATGCTGCTGCCATTCCAGTTAAAAATTAGATTTCACATGTTTCTGGGTAGGAGACAGTGCCACTTCACTGAAATGTGCTATCATTATTCTCATTATTTATTATGGTGGTAATTGCTGCCAACACTGCAAATGTTATTTCTCGAGTCATACATGTGCATTTCTTCTTTGTAGAGAGAAATCATAGATGCCAAATAGAATACACTCAGAGTTGCATAAGTAAACGGCTGGAGGCTATGTTTTCAGTTCCTCATACTCTTTCTCCAGGTCACATGCTTTACATGTCCTTATGCCTGGTTTGACCTTGCATACTTCCAGATATTCTCTCATACAGCCTTTAGAAATCAGCCTGGCTATGAAAGAAAGTTGGGTAGTCACAAGCATTTTTGGCCTGTGCAAGCATTTGTCATGGTGGATTTTAAGAGCACATCTCCAAGGTTATACTTTGCATATAAATGTAACCATTGGAGGAGTCACATTGGTATGGATTGGGCATAGAACTATTTTTGCAGTAAGTTAATATTCAGATTGATTGAGCAAGATGTCCTGATTGAAATTACATTTTATAACCTAGTTTGGCAAACAGCCATTATTAATGCATTTAAATAGACTTGTTTACTGGGGCATCAACCTCAATTTGCATCATTTTTATTAGAAATAGTCATACATTTACTATGACTGCCTTACTGATGTTGCATACTAAGGGGGAAACTGCTTTCAGCATACATTAAAGCTATATATACATGCACTTGACTATGTAACTTTTTTGCGGTAAGGAGATGTGTTTGCTTTATTTAAAATTTATTTTTAAATTTATGGCTCTTTGAAAATTCCATGCTAATGAATTGGTTTTTTTTTTTCCCAGCCCCTAATGATTTTATTAACCTGCTTCTTTTGTTTCTAGAGTATCCTAAAATCAAAGTCTAACTGTTTGAATGGTGTTGTCTTAAATTTCTAAAAATAACATGGACAATATAATAATATATTATTAAATTAGTTTAAAATTTTTAAGATGCTTTTGTCTCGTTATTTTTAGAATTTAGATATTTCTAGTGAAATTATTAATTATGTTATTTAAAATACTTAAAACACTGAGATATAATGACTTTTAAGTATTTTAAATAATCTCAGTGTTTCTATATCCATATTGGTAACACATAGTAATAAATGAGAAGCAATTTAGTCCCAAGAAGGAAATGGAAAATTGTTTTAAAATGTTTACTTAAGTTTCCTTAAAATTTGTTCTTTTTATTTCCATTTTTTTTTTTAATTTCCATTTTTTAAAGTGTTGAGTTCAACAGTTAGTTCATGGACTTTCCTAAGAAACTCAATTCTTATTGTAAAATGCAGATGTGAGAAACTTTATAAAGAGTGAGTAGACAGAAGGAACTAGGCTACAGGAAAAGTGGGAAAAACAAAGAGGCTAGCGTTCATTCATATCACTGATTGTGCTAAGTGTCTTACATGTAATGACTGGTATAATACTGACAACAGTATTGGTAGGTATGGTAGGTATCAATAACACCATTTTAAAGATGAGGGACCAAAGTCTTTCAACTAATAGGAACAGAGCCAGAATTCAGACTCATGCATAGTGCCTTCTCCATGTAGCACTGCTCACCTGTCTCTTTTGTGAAACAGGGATACTTCCTACAGGCTAATAGGGACAGATCAATTCCTAGTGCCCTGCCCTTCCAGAGATAGCTCAAACATAAGATTAAAGCAGAAAAGGTAGAGATTTTGAGGAATAAACCACGGCATTATAAAGAGCACCTGACCATAGAAGGTATAACTTTGGGTGTCCTTGAGTTTAGTGACTCTTATAATGGGCCTGGCCCTGTGGGCTATGAAATTTCAATGCCAAAGTGTCTCCCATACCTGCCCCATTCAGATCTCCTCTCCTTACACTTGCTTCAGGGACTTGACAGAAGAGGAACTCCTAATGCTGTCATCCTGGTAGACTATAGTCCCCTCCCTATATCCTTCTGAGCAGATTGGTAGGAGCCCCTTGTGGGTCTGAATGTATAGTTGATCCTAAGAAGATCCCTAGAGGGTGTGACAGTTGTGTAATTCTACAGTTAGTTTTTAGTTTTCTAAGTGAGAAAGTAGCATATTAACTTTATATTAGTGAATTAACTAAATTTATATTGGCTAATTCATACATTCAGTTTTATTATGCTTTGGGAAGGATGTTAGATTATGAGTCAGGACACGTGGCTTTTAGTCTTAGTTTTTCCATAGTGGACTATGTTACCTTGGACAAGTCACCTACTCTCTCTGAAAATCAGTTTAAGTATTAGATAAGAACTTTGACCGATACCATTTCTGATATTTCTTCCATCTCTAAATCCTATAGTTCTCTGATTCTCTTATAATCATAAGTTAATTTTTAATCTTTTACAGAAGCATTCCAGATTTGTTTTAGCCTGGTAGATGATCAGATACCTGAAAGGCTAAGGTGCTACAGTGTACATTTTTCCAAATTAAGGTTTTAGAAATGTTGTCCCATTATAGCTGTGTAATTCTAAAAGAAACAGTTACTGCCTATGAAAATACAATTGAAAGAATTTAAATTAAAAATACTTGAGGAACTTTGGGAGGGGAAAAAAACAATTAAAATGAAAGTTTGGAAAGCATTTGCTCATTTAAAAATTTTGTCTCAACTTTCATTTATAGGTCGTGAACTGGCTTGAAGGGCCTGGATCAGAACAGCTAAGAGCCCAGTGGGGGATTGGTGACTCCATCAGGGCTTCCCAGGCCCTGCAGCAGAAGCACGAGGAGATCGAGAGCCAGCACAGTGTGAGAGGCTTTTTCCTCTGCAAGTTACAATGCTGTTATGAACGTGCATGCTTAGTAGCGTATGTGGTACTAAGTGATAAGTTGCTATAAATTTTGGCAGAGAGGCATAAAATACAGTATTGTTAAATGCTTAAAGGTCATAAAATACATTTGAACACTTAGTAAATATTCATTAAAAGGTTGGTTTCAGTTTTATCTCCAATAGAGCTTAACTACATTTTTATTGAAGCACAGTTTGTATGAAATTTTAAAAGCTACGGTGACAGAAAAAAAGAGTTATCACAAGATTTGGAGTCATCTAAAGGTAGTACATATATAATTCTTGTAATTTTCCTAATTAGTACTTGTAAGAGACTTAAAAATGAAGTCTCAAAATTAAAAATTTATATGTTTTATGCATTTCACAGGTTCTAACATAATAGTTCTTTTATGCTAAAAAAATCATATTCAATAATTTATATTTAACTTACAAACCCTGTTCCTGAGGATATAATCTTTTAATTCTCTTGGTACTTTTTAAAAAACGCAATGCTTTTTTTTTTTAACATAGATTGTGATTAATTTGAACCTAATGGATTGTTTTGGAGCATGTTACTATAGTATAGAGTCTATTATTTGTTCCTCTATTTAATTCCTAAAAACAGTATTTACATGAGAACATGCTAGACTTCACCCACAAGAGGATTTCATTGTGAAAATATCCCAAAAGTTCTTTTAGTAAGGATGTATGATACATGAAGATCCTAAAGATAATATTTGTATTTATTACTTTTAAAAGATGCTAAGAGAAATAATTATAGTTAGAAATTGGCTTATATACATACTATACTATCTATACATTCACAAAAGAAATTGAAAAGTACGTTTTATGTTGCATATAGTATGGATGAAATTACAGATGGTATATACATAGAGATGCCTGTGTTTGATGTTTGTTTTGTGATTTTAATATATTTATAAGGTTTAAAATCAGCTTAAAGAAACAAATTTCTTACAGGTGGCCTTTTCCATGTGCTTATAAGCATACTTATAAGATGAAATGAGTACACAGAATTTTTTGAATTGCAAAGAACCTTATAGATTATTCTAACACACCACCTTATTTTATAGATGAGGAAACTGGGACACTACATTTTTTGATCAATGAGTACCTGGAAATAGGGTTAAAACACAGATCTCCTGTTTCCTGGAGGGATCCTTTCTCTCTGGCTATCTTAGAGAACCCTACTGAATTTCATGGATATGCTTAAGATATAGCATTTTTTTTCATACTTATGCTTTTAATACTTGAGGACATATACACATCTGTTGACATGTGCATTCATAGACATGCTTTCCAAAGAAAAGAAACATTGATGGCTTATCACAGACTTCTTTAAATCCTATGTGATAGTTGGGATTTGTTTCAAAATTGGGAGGTCGGGACAGAATAGATGAAATAGGATTGGCCACGAGTTGATATTTATTGAAGCTGGATGATACATGGGGGTTCATTATACTATTCTTTCCAATCTTGAATAGGTTAGAGATTTTGTACCCTAAAAGGTTTAAAAAAGAGGATTGTACTATTTTAGCCAATAGATGGCACTACCTTGTCACCTTGAGGATAGGTTAGTTGATGCCGAGTGAATGTAATAACTTACGATGTTTAAGATATTCTGATATTTCATTTAAAGCTCTCTTTCTCTTTGTAAGTAAAAGTCAACAGTTTAAAGCATTTATTGAAATTGTTGAGGTCTTGTAAAATTATAATGACAAATTTCTAGTATTGACAGCTAATTAGGGTTGAATTTGGGAAGACTTTTAACATACCATTTTGCATTAAAGCATAATGTCAAGTATTAAATTTTAGGTTCTGCATAAAAGCATAATGCAGATGTAAAGCTAAAAACCACAACTTTGTTAGGATATTAAGTACTAATATATAGAAAAATGAAAATTCTACTAATATATAGTTTTATATATTAAGGATTAGAAGTTCATTTGGTTTTGAATACAACATGAAAAAAATATTAAGGTACATGGAAATGATTATAGTAGCTAACAAGTAATTTAAAAATATTTTAGTTTAATAATAAATCTAATTTTATCTTGTTGGTGGAGGGAAGTGTGTTGTTGGAGAAGCATGCGATAGGAAAGTGCAGGAGCATAAATATCCGAGGCCATTTCAGAGCCTTGTGAGAGTCCCACTGTCCCCCAGTGCTGACTTCTGATCTCCTAAGAGACCACATGCTGGTGTATTGTGCCTAATAGTGAATGACATCTACATGATAAATGAGGACCTTTTTCTCCCTAACATAGATTCTAAATATAATCAAGTGAGTTGATTGCCTAAGTGAGTTGGCAGTGTTTCCTCCTAAGTAGGGATTCCTATTTCATGGTATAACATTGCATAATTTTAATTGAGAAAGTTTTAAGCTATCCCTATTTGTCCTGAGTTCCAAATGATAGTTGTATTTCATAATTAAAATTAGAAGGATGCAGAATTAGAAAATCTGAAACTTTTTAGTCTTTATTTACACATACCCTGGAGCTAGCCTACCTTTGTCATTGTGTTCCATATTGAGTTAGAGATTTAGAGAAAGTAAAACTGTCATTTATGTTTGTTCATTGAGAACAAAGTTTGTTCAGTTCATTGGAATAACAAAATATGTAAGTTGCAGTTGTTTGTGTTTTATGGAACCAGTTAAGAAACTTACAACATTTTCTTTTTATGGAACCAGTTAAAAAACTTATAACATTTTCTTATATAACATTTTATATGTAAATTTTTCAAAAGCCAAGCCAAAGATTCCATACCTTCAATAAAAGTAGACTTCAACAATTAAAAAAAAAATACTCATGGTTTCACCAAGTATGCTTCACCACCAAATTACATATGATTGCAGTGTCAGTCCTGACTACTTCTGTCCTAAATGTCAGCCTTCAAGCTCATTTCTCACTTACGTCTTAATCCAAATCCCAAATCTTGGTGTTGATTTTTTATTTTGCTATAAAATAATCATTTTCTACATAGTTAAATATGTGTAAGAGATAGACCAGAGAATGGCCATAGGTGAATTGAATGCAGCCTGTTCACCTAAGGTTCTATAATACATTCTATGTTACTTTATTTTCTCAGAAGAAACTTTTCAATAAATTTTAAATGTGTACATATATATAAGCCAGATTTTTTTCCCTCCTCATCCCAGAGAGACTAATTATTTCTTTATGACAACTTCAATCAATAATATCAGTGCCTTCAATTTCAGGTGTTAATTTCTTGAGACATACTAGTCCTTAACGTTGTATTTACATCTCTGGTCAGATTGCTAGAGCCTTTATTTTACAAATTCAAACCAGGAAAAAAAATCAGCTCCACATTAGTGGTTCTTAAACCTCAGTGGCATAAGAGTCATCAGAAGTGCTTGTTAAACTACATGCATATCCCAGGGTCCACCCTCAGAGACTCTGATTTAGTAGGTCAGAGGTGGAGTTTAGGCATTTTTAATAAGTACCCCAGGTGGTCTGATGTGGGTAATTCTCACTGAGAAATGCTATCCTAAGACTCTAATCCTTTAGTTTACTACTTTTCTTAGAATCATTGCTACTACTTCTTCAAAAAATTGGGCCTACTTATTTAGAGCACTAACAATTTGTAAATACTATAAATAAGGCAGTGAAATCCCTTTCTATTTCAGAACATGACAATGATAATTTTTTTCAGGTATTATTTTATACTTTAAAAGTCTCCATTAACCATTATAATAATTATATAGTTTTAAAAGTATTTTTTATATTTATCTAACTTATCTAATTAAATCTATGTAAAAACCAATAAAAGTAGGTAAGACAGATATTGTCACCACCCTGGGGCAGAGCAGGATTTCTCAGCCTCAGCACTGTTGCCACTTTGAGCCAGGTCGTCTTTGTTGTAGGGGCTGTTCTGCACATTTAGCAGCATCACTGGCCTCTGCTTACCAGATGCAGTGGCATTTCTTCCCAGATACGATGATCAAAAATATCTCCAGACATTGCCAAGTGTTTCCCAGAGGGCAAAATCACCCTGTTGCCTACATAATATAATGTCAATAAATCCACAATGCCTAGTGTGTTTTATGCATTCATTCAACACATGTGAATTGAGCACACACTTTATGTCACATGTTCCTCCAGGCTCTTACAATATAGTACTGTCTTATCACATGGAATTGGCACTCAAGTCGGGGAGACAGGGAGTGGGAAGTACTATAGGTATGGCTTTTAGGAAAGGCCTCTCCGAGGACACGACATTTAGTCAGAAACCTTGAAATGATACGAAGGAATATTCCACGCAGAGGTCAATTCAGATAGAGGACACAGCAGTGGAAACACCCCACGGCAGGAACGGGATTGAGGAATGAGCATGTCGGTGTGGATAGAGTACAGGGAGCGAGGCAGAGCCACAGAAGATAAAGAGGAAAGGGAGTCAGGGCGGGTGATGTCATTTTAGCCCATGAATAGGAGCTTAAAATTTATTTTATATATTATGTGAAGTCAGTGGAGGCGTGTTTGAACAGAGAATTGATTTGTGTTTTTTTTTTTTTTTTTTTTTGAGACAGAGTCTCACTTTGTTGTCCAGGCTAGAGTGAGTGCCGTGGCGTCAGCCTAGCTCACAGCAACCTCAATCTCCTGGGCTTGAGTGATCCTTCTGCCTCAGCCTCCCGAGTAGCTGGGACTACAGGCATGGGCCACCATGCCCAGCTAATTTTTTTTTTTTAATATATATATCAGTTGGCCAATTAATTTCTTTCTATTTATAGTAGAGACGGGGTCTCGCTCTTGCTCAGGCTGGTTTTGAACTCCTGACCTCGAGCAATCCGCCCGCCTCGGCCTCCCAAGAGCTAGGATTACAGGCGTGAGCCACAGCGCCCGGCCTTGATTTGTGTTTTAAGAAGATCACTGGCCATTGTGTGGATAATGGGGGAAGGGACAAGCAGTGACAATGGGAGGCAGGAGGCTGATGGAATGGAGGCAGTGGATGTAATGAAAACTGATAGACACTCACAAGGCTCAGCCAGCCAGCGAGACTTGCTCATAGAAGAGTCAGGCTTCTGGGCTTAGCAACTATGAAGATGGAGAAGACTGGGGGAGAAGCAGGTTGGGAGCAGATTAAATTTTATTAACAGATATCTAATAGTTAACCAAGTGAAGATGGCCAGTAGGCAGCTGGGTGTTAGTGTCTGGGTTTCAGGAGAGGAGTCAAGGTTGAAGATACTAACTTAGGAATTATTATCCTATGGCTGTTATTTAAAGGCATAGAACTAGATTAAGTCATCTAGCCCCCCCAAGTATTGATTTAGAAGAAAAGACACCATCTGAAAATGAACCCTGGGTCAACCTACATGTAAAGGGCAAGAGGAGGAAGGCTAAGGGAGCTATTGTGTACCAGAAAACAAGAGAAAAGGGCATTTCAAGGAGTAGTAACAGGTGCTCACTTCTACCAAATGCAGCTGAGAGGTCCAGTTCGAGATGCAGACTGAGAATTGACCATTGGATTTGGCAAGGCGGAATTTTTTGGTGAACTTGAAACAGTTGATTTCACAGTGTAGGAAGGACAAAATCCTGATTAAAGTGGATTAAAAAGAGAATGGGAATAGGAAAAGAATGAGAACAGAGAAATCCTTTAAGAGAGGTGCTGTTTTTTCTTCTGAGATTTAATTTCAATATAGTGAAGTACACAAATCTTAATTGTATATTTTTTGTATAATATTTTATATCTTTTTATGTGCTGGTAGAAATAATCCAATTGAGAAAGAATTGATGGAAGAAAGAGAAGATAATTGCAAGAGCAAAGCTTTGTGTGGGCAACATACGATAGGCTATAATGCACAAGTGGAGAGGTTAGCCTTAAAAGTAGGGACAGGCCAGCCATTATTACATATGATGACAGAGCACGAGGTAGAGAAGAAGGGAAGGTTGTACATTTGTTGGTGGGAAGATGATGAGAGAGTTCTCTTCTGTTGCTTCCCATTGAATTAAGAAGTAAGATCTTTGGCTAAGAGTGAAAAGGGAGTTGGAGACTTAAGGAATGAAAACGACATAAATAATCACAAGGATGGGAAGGTGAATTGACTAGAGAAATATAGAAGGATTGCCAGAGAACCTATTTGAGTTTATTTAGTCAAAACTTTAAAAAGAGAGCCATCCACACAGTTGTTTTTAGCTAGCCATGTTCAGCTCTCTGGTATAGGCACAATTAGGCAGAGAAACCAGGTTTGAAGTTTTGACAGGTGAGTCTGTTGGAAGGAAGACAAGCAGGGCTTGGGCACGGGTTGTATGCTATGAGGTGCTTACAGCATGTGACCAAGGGTGGAAGTGAAGACATGAGGCTCCCGCGTGCTGGACAGTAGAGCAAGCTGAGATCAGTGGATTGGTGGACTCCATGGGGTGGTAGGTGTGAGCATACAGAGGTGAGTCGAAGAGTCACCTGGTGGTCAGAGAATGGAATTCACGAAATTGAGATTTGGGGATAGTAGTTAAATGATGAGAAGTTTTTATATCCTGTGGTGTAGGTAGCTGAAGTAGAGTGAGGACAATATGATTGGAAGTGAAGGAAATAGTCAAGGAACTGAAAGGTCAGGGTGTTGGTGGTTGCCTACATGGAGGAGATAATAACAGGGCCTACACTGAGAGGAAGACAGTTTTGCTAACACCCTCTGCTAAAACCCTTTGCTAAAACCCTCTGTGGATGAGGGGATGCAGCAGAGAAAGCTGAAAGAACAGCATGGACTTCAATGAGATGTTGTATTTAAGAGAAGAGGGAGAGGAAATGATCTGGAAGCAGTGATGAGTAGCAAGGTGACCATCAAACCCACCTTCAGCTTGCAGTATGTCAGGTGTGAAACAAAAACAGTAAGCAGTTGAGAGAGAGGAAGGTCTGTTTTCTCTGAGGGTGGACAAGTTTCACTTAGAGTAAGAAAGAAAAGGGAACATTTGGAGGCCAGGATAAGGATATGGCAGATTTTACTATTGGCAGTCTGAGAGGTCCAGGGATTGCAGTGGAAGGATTTGGGGGTTGGAGACTTTTCATCTTCAATTTAAATAACTCCTCCCTAGAAAAAATTTTTGTGTGTGTTACTTAATTTATCTGGAGAATATATAAAATATAATATCCTCCAGGAAAGAATTTGATCCTTAATTTACTTCGCAACATCTTGATTACAGGAATGGTTTGCTGTATATGTGGAGCTTAATCAGCAAATTGCAGCGCTCTTGAATGCTGGGGATGAGGAAGATCTTGTGGAACTCAAGTCGCTACAGCAACAGCTTAGTGATGTTTGCTATCGGCAGGCCAGCCAGCTGGAATTTAGGCAAAATCTCTTACAGGCAGCTCTTGAATTTCATGGTGTTGCCCAGGATGTAAGTGTCTATTCTGATTGCTTTTCTTTTCTTCAAATTATCTGAATACTTATCTACACATAATTTTTGCAGGTTTGCATGCCTCCTAATTATTTTTCTGGAACAATAAAATAATTTGCTGGTGGGGGGTAATGAGATAAAATCTTTGATTTTTTTTTTAAAAGCAAAATTTTAAGTCATTCTGCATGCAATTAAACCTTTTATCGTCTAACTAGAGTGTTCCAAACTTGTAGATATATTTCTTTTTCACTGTTTCTCAGTGTTTACGCTTTATAACATAGATGGAAATGGAAGCATCAATAATTTTTTGTCTTCTGCTGACCTGAATGTACTTCTTTGTCTTTCTATGCATGCATCTGTGTGTTCTGTCTTCCAGATAACATGTATCCTAATTATTTGTCCTTGTCTTTTAATAGCATAGTCTTTTCAAGTGTAATTGTGATAACCTCATTAGATATAAACCTCATTAATCATTAAACACTCTAGATGCTGATTACATCAGGGTTATCTCTTTGGTGTCCCTCTGCTTTAGTTGTCTCAGCAGTTGGATGGCTTATTAGGGATGTTGTGCGTAGATGTAGCACCAGCTGATGGAGCATCGATTCAGCAAACTTTAAAACTGCTTGAAGAGAAGCTGAAAAGTGTTGGTAAGCAGATTTTAAAAATGCTGAAACATAAGGGTTTTTTTTTTTTTTTTAAATATCATTACCATGTTAGACAATTAAGTCAACTTACACTGAACTAATTATAATTATTTACAGGAAACACAGGAAAAAAATAGTATAAAAAGATTTATTCCCTTGAAGGGGTATAATTTTTATGCTGAAAATTTTATTTCTCGTTGTTGGCTAGTCACTCCTCCCTTCACTGGGCTTGTTTACCCAGCTATATCTACAGGTGCTATGTCTTGCATATACTATGAACAGTTACTCGTAGTGCATGCATAAACTGTAATTAGCTGTGAAGTGTTCTGTGGTGAACCCTGTATGCCCAAAATTGTGTTTTATGCAATGATTTTTGTTGTTGCTATATCCTAACCTTGTGGAAAAATAGTTGGTTTGGTCCTGTGCATTTGTTTCTCCAAACTAGGACTATTACCAGGTCAATGTACTCTCTAAGGAGAGAAGGGTCCAATTATATTAAGCTAGCTCTGTCATTCAGCATCAAGGCCTTTAAAATTTTTCTACAGTAGGAAATGCAGTGAAGTTCCCTGGGTCAGGATATGAAAACGGAATGAAGGGAGGTTATATTAAGAGGGACAGGAGGGAAAAAGGAAAAATGGAGGGGAGGAAGCACCAACTTAAGGCAGAGGATTTGTAGAAAGTAGTGACACATGATTAAACCAAATTAATTAACTATTGAAAACAACTTGAGGGAATTGGTTTGAAAAATTGTGTTTGTATTGATACTTGACTTTCTTACATCCTTTGTTATTTTAACAGATGATATGCATAATGCATATTTAGTATTTAATACACCAAATGAAATTTATTTTAAAATATCAGAAGTTTATTTGAGCCACACTTTTCCTTGAAAAAGAAAAAAGAATTCCTATAAACATATTTAATTTGGAGTATTGTAAATATATCCTAAATGTTGCTTCCCCTGGTGTATAAGCTGGACTATACCTTTACTCACAGTGTTCAGCATCCTTTTGTATCAATAATACATTATTTGAGTATTTTGAAATCTTGTCAATCTTATACATTTTTTAAACAAAATATTAATATTTGCCTTATTCTCCTAAGAGTTGGACTACATGAGAGCCTAAGAGAAAAATTAGGAAAATTTTATTATTCAAAATAGAAATTCTCATATACTTTTTTCCTGCTACAGAAATTCATGTTTTGAAAATTTCGCGTAGGGAGAATTTGGCATGAAAGAGAGCTCTAGTGCAAGTCACATTTAAAGAGGTTTTATTGCTTGAAATGTTTATAGGACTCCATCTCAAGATAGTATAATGTACAAACTGTTATACTTGAAATCCAAAAACAGTATCCACTGAGAGGATTTATTTGAGGCAGGGAAAGCACCTCAGTTGTTTAAGAGATTAAATCCAGTAACTTTTGTTGTAGATGTGGGATTGCAAGGTTTGCGTGAAAAAGGTCAAGGTCTCCTGGATCAGATCTCCAATCAGGCATCCTGGGCTTACGGAAAGGACGTAACCATTGAAAACAAAGAAAATGTGGACCACATACAAGGAGTGATGGAAGATATGCAACTTAGGAAACAAAGGCAAAGTTTGACTGTTAATTTTTACCAAGATAACAAAATATTAATTAAGATAAAAAGTTACATAATTTATATTTTATGTGCAAACTAAAATTTCTTACCTGTTAAATAGGAGGCGTATAGTAGGTTTTTGGTGAATGTGGTAATTATTGTATGTGATTACACTAACACATAATGACAATTTGTTCAATTAATGGGTACGTTTTCTCTTTTTACTTGGTAGTAAAAATTTCAGTTATACTCAAATACTTCACATTCCATATCCACAGTGTAGCATATGACTCTGCTCTACTTTAAGAAAACCTTTTTGGAGAATTTTGCTTTTCCATCTTCATTAATTTGAGAATTGCTCTTCTTTCTGTCATCTACTTTGATCTATTTCTTCATCTTAACTTTTATATAATGTCATACATCCATTGCTCTCATACTAACTGTAGAAGGATTAGACAGTGGACTAATGATGATATTTAGTTGCATTTGATGTAGAACTAGGAATTTAAAATATTCTTTGAAAACTCAGTTTGCCATAGCAACTGTGAGGTATTATTAGAAGGTAGAGGATTAAAATTACCTATACAAGTATACACAGTCTAGCATGGTTTATATGAAATTTTGCACACTTAGAAATTTTAAAATCATCAGCAAAACTTCAGAGAAACTCCACATCATAAAGAAAATGGTCATGAGGCAGAAATTCCTTCTATATCCTGCTGTCCTAACTTGTCCATTTTATCGTTCTCTGATTCCGATCGTGCTCTTGTCTCCTCACTCCCTCAACTCGCATTCTCTACTCTGATTCCTGCCCCTCATTTAAATGCTTAAATCTCTCCTAATTTTTTTAATTCACACACATGCATGTACCTTCCTCTTCAACCCTTTGTCTTCTAGTGTTAGAGCTCTCCTTCCTCACTGCTAAGAAGCTAGAAGGTCTACCCTCCATTCATACTGCTTCCCCCCCTATCTCAAAGTCACTTTTCAGTCTGACTTCTGCCCTCACCATTTCACTCCCTTTGCTCTTACTGGTGTTGCCAATAACTTTGTAATCGCTGTGTGTAAGAAATACTGGATCTTACTCGGAATCCAGGGAGTACTTTAGTCCTGACTTGCTTTACTTTGATTATTGGTAGACGCGACTGACTTTTCTTTTCTCCTTGAAGCTCCCCAACAACTGTGTCTTCCTTGAAAACACTCTCATGATCCTTCTCCTGACACTTTGTTTCTTCTTGTTCTTCTGATTTCTTGACCTCTAGCTAAGGTCACTGCTTCTAGGGTTTGTTCTAAGACCAAATTCTCTTCTTTGTATGTTCTCCCTAGACAGTCTCACCACTTTAATGACTTTCTTTAGTATGATCATGGTTTAGTAGTTATGGCTCTTACCAAGGCCCTCTCCTGCACTCTAGACCCATGATTCCAGTTGCCTACTGAGGGTTTCCTGCTGGGGGCCCCGCCATATTCCCCTCACACCTAGTACATCCAGGTTGGAATCATTTTCCCCCAAAACTTGCTCTTCTCTTGTAATTTCCTACATAGGTTCATGTTACCGTCAGCTACCAAACTTGGAACTTACCCTAAAATCCTTCATCTTCCTTATGCCTTACAGCCTAATCAAATGTTTAAATTCTGCTGTCTCTGAATCTCAAACATTTCTTTGCTCAAGCTCTTACCTCTTATCTGCCTCTGGCCTTGCTTTTATCCAGCTGTTGTATATAAGAATAATCTTCAAACAGTGCAAAGATTGCATTAAATCTCCCTGGGAAAACTTCCTGTTTTCTCAGATGAAGTTTAATCTCCTTGGAATGGTGTAGGAAACCCTTTGTAATCCAAACCTGTGTAATCTTATCTTTTGCAATTTTCCCACAAAATCACACAATTATTTTTATTTTCCTGAATGTATCATACTCTTTCATGCATCTACAACTAAGAATAATTCTTCCCTCATTTTCTGCTTAGTGGATTCCTACTTGTTCTTCAAGATTCAGGGATACTTATCTTAGGAAGCCTTAAGGCAAGTTAGTCACTTGCTCTTCCCTACTCCTATAAAACCTTGTACATAGTTCTATAATAGCACTTATTACCTTGTTTATTTAAAAGTCCATCTCCCAAATGAGAGCATCTTGATAATAGGGAGCAGCATATCTTATTTTTTCCCCACATTATCCAATACCTGAAAACATGATGTGTATGATACCACCTTCATCATTAAAGTCTTACATTGTTTTTTAGTTTCAGATATTAAAAATAATTATCATCATCACTTCCTTCAATCAACCATAGAATTACTTTAACCATAAATTAATTTTTACATTAAGTTATGAGTTTTATTGAGAGCATCTTTATTTAAAAAATGCCTTGTGATAATTACTTCTGTATTGTTATTAAGCTTTGTTTAAGGACATTAACTGTAGTAGAGCCCAATGCCTGTTGGGTAACTTGTTATTCGTATTTGGGACTGCAGTGGGAGTCCCTCCTCCTCCCTGCAGTATGTGGCATTGCGTACGAGTGAAGGAAATGGACTAAAGCTGAGTTAGGTCGAGTCACCTTAAAAATTTAATCTGTATATTATCCAAACAGAACACAGTGAGATTAAAAATTTGTGTTTCTCTGTACTAAGAGATCATTGAAGGTTTTTTCCCCTTAAGAATGTAGGTGGAGGTTTTTTTTTAAATTCAGAATTAAATATTATTGTATGCGATATAATATAATGAAGAGTATTAGTTTTTAAAAATTTCCCTGGAATATCGTCCTCTAAATTAGTATTTGAGAAACTTTACGTTTGTCTCTTTGAAACTTGTTTAATGCTAATTGGCAATGGAGATTTCTTTGGGTTTTAGTGTACTATTGCGTTTATGCTTTGCTTCAATATTTTGCAGAATCCATGCTATCCTCAAGAGGGTTTGTCATTCAGTATCATTCAGGTATTTTGAGGTTTTGATGTAACATAGATATAGATATCCTTAAAATTCTTACAAATCAATACAAAATAGTTGCTATCTCTGTAGTATAGGACTAAGTATCTTAGCATACTATAAAATGTGTGCCAGATGATGATGTTATAATAATAATCAATAAAACTGAACTGACGAATTAAATTTATGTTTGGGTTTATTAGATGTGAAGATATGGTAGATGTGCGAAGGTTAAAGATGCTTCAGATGGTGCAGTTATTTAAATGTGAAGAAGATGCTGCCCAGGTAAGGACCAGTCAGCCACATTAGGTAGTTTTCTTTTCTTAGAAGATTGATTTCATTTAACTGTAAACAAAAGTATCTACTTTTCATGGTCCTAAGAAAGCAAATTAATTAAGTCAGATTCTTATTTATCCCGTTGAAGAATAAATCTGTATCCCCAGCTAGTTTACTGATCTCATTTGACTTAATCCTCTCAGTGAAATTCTCTGTTGAGCTAGAAATTGAGATTATTTATTATTGTTAACTAGGCTGTCAGTTAAATCCCAGGATAAAGGCTGGTATAGCACATTGCTTTTTAACCCACAAGGGAATTTTTAATGCCAGATAAATAATTTGGTATCTTTGTGTAGTTAGCATCAGAGAATATCAGTTCAGCTTTGATAAAGAGGAAATTTGTGATTTTATATAGTAAAACAAACCTAATGAGATCCCAATAGATCTAAATTACAGAAATACATGATCTACTATGTGATATTATTTTTTAAAAAGTGTTTTTCTTTAGTAGGTCTTGCCTTTAAATTTAAATTTTAAGGAGTAATCGAGGTCATAGTTCATTTAGCTTGACATTGAATGAAATAAGCCCTTAAGAACTTAAGTATTAATTAATGGATTGATTATTCACATGATAGCAATCTTTGTATAAATATAATGTTTTGATATAATAAGTGAAGAGTCATAAATCCAGCTTTACTGTTACATATTTTCATTTAGGCTGTGGAATGGCTAAGTGAACTTCTGGATGCTCTGCTTAAGACCCACATCAGATTGGGCGATGATGCTCAAGAAACGAAAGTTTTGCTGGAAAAGCATAGAAAATTTGTTGATGTTGCACAGGTGCAGAACTGGTTATCTTCCTTTTCTACAAGCTCAGTGTTTGACTAGCTTTCTGCATGATTATAATGTAACTTTACCCTCCAAGTCCAAGAAGGTTAGTTTTGTTATTCCAGAAATATCACAGAATTAAGAAAATGTCAGCTGGTGCATCAAAACTAGCCTACATAAACTTGAGAGGGTTTATGTTTGCCCAAATACAGGTTCTGTATGCTCCATCTGCTTTATGTTATATATTATGGCATTTTTTTTAGGCAATCCAACTGTTCATTCACAGAAGTTAATGTGGATTATATGTTAATATCAGTAAATTAGAAACCCCATTTTCTGCATCTTACTAGTGTTAGCATAAAACAGAATTTATTTGTGGTGAAAGGTATCTTCATATATTTTACCTAATAATTGACTTCATACTGTAACAGTTGTAGTTTCCTATATGGAATATAAAGTGCCTAATTTCACTCACTTGTTTTGCTTAAATTAGAGAGTAGATATTCTTTTTGGCCAGTAAAATTTAGCATACCGAGATGGGGAAAACAGAATAGGAGGGGGAAGCCTAACAAGAAAGGAACTAAGCCTAACAAGAAAGGAACTAAAAGTATTGCTTCCCCTTTATTATTTATGCATGCAGATAATCTGTAGTAATAAGTGCCACTGGATTTCTTTAATGTTGATTTCTACTAGTGTCACTTAATTGCAACCACAGTGCTCCTGCACACCTTCCCCATCCTTTCTTTAGAATTCTCTTATTATAATTTCATGTTTACTTTTTCTTTTGTAGAGCACTTATGACTATGGTAGGCAGTTGCTACAGGCCACAGTTGTGTTGTGCCAATCTTTGCGCTGCACTTCTCGATCATCTGGGGATACACTTCCTCGACTAAACAGAGTATGGAAACAATTTACAATAGCATCTGAAGAGAGAGTGCATAGGTTGGAAATGGCTATTGCATTTCACTCTAATGCTGAAAAGGTTTGCTTTTTTTGTTGTTTTTTGAAATGTATTCTCAATCGTATTTATTACATATGTTTGAAATATATTAATTTTAATAATGTAATTATATAACTTTTTTCAATATTTATATTGAAATTTTTATATTTCAATATTTTTGAATATTGAAATTTATATTGAAATTTATATTTCAATATTTGTATTTATATTTCAATATTTATATTAGTTCCATTGTTAAAGTTTATTTAGATATAATATATTATCTTGGAGAGTTCAAACTAAATTTGCTTTAATCATTATCAGTGCTGGAGTACTGTCATTGGAGAAGTCCAGCACCACCTGGTATTCCTCTCTTTTCACTACTTCTCTCCTGCCCAAACCTCATGTCCAGAATGTGCCCTCCATTCATTAGAGTATCATGACTTTAATCTTTTCATTATGCCAGGAAAGGAAGCTTTGCTTTGGCAACTACTACTAATTTTCACACATTTTTATAAAGATATTTTGTGATTTTATAATTTAGAGACATAAAAAATGAGAATAAGGGTAACACCCTTTTTGTGTATTCTCATTAAAGATTCATTCTAAAACTTATTTTTTAACATATTAAAGTCATTAATTCCAGAAACCAAAAGTAAAATATGCAGTGTTATTTAGGCAAATTTTTAATACTACCTTTTTCATACTCTCCACAGTAAAAATGTGTTACACCCAAGCCTTACATTTCCATTCGGGAGAGGAGCTTTATTATGTAGTTAACTTTGTTTTGATCTCTTATAATGAAAGTTTATATGTAGATAATGTTCAATATGCTTCAAGATATGGCAAACATAAGTTGTTAATGGGATAGCCTGGTCTGTAGAACAGAACGGATATTCCAAGGAGCCTCAATAATTAAGCAAATTTCTGTGTCATGAAGTACATCTGTGTCATGAAGTACATCTTTTGGGAAGTGTCCACAGTTAACTCTTTCTTAGCTGGTCACTGAACTCTACAGATTAGTGTTTGATTAAAATGGGCCTCATGATGATGAATGAAAGTGTGCAAAATGGCACAACTTATCTCTTGATTGTTTCAATGCATTTTGTTATTATAAAGTATACTGTTAATGTAGAAAAGTGTACCGACCATTAGTGTTTTGCTTGGTAGAGTTACACAGGTGAAAGTGAACATCTGTGGAATCAGTGTGCTGTTCATGCAACAAAACATGACTATCAACCCAGAAACTTCCCCCACCCTCCTGTGGTCACAGTACTGCTCCCCCCACCACCAAAGGGTGACCGTTGGCCCTATTTCTAGTACCACTGGTAACTTTTTAGGATACTACTTATAAAATGTATCTGCAAGGACGCTTTAAAATCTAGAACTCTTTAATAGGTTGTAATCTTCAATTTTAAAATGTTAAAAATGTCCATTTATCAGCAATGTGGAAATAAGCATGATTGGATTAAGTAAAGTGTAATGCAAAAAACAAATTGCAAAAATAAATACTTCTTTTTTTTTTTCCCCTCTCCCAAATTTTGCAGTTCTTTCTTTAAATTTAAATGGTAATAGTTAAGGGGGAGAAAAAGAATAGTATCTCATCAAGAACTGTAGAGCTTCCTATATTTGTATTAAATGTGATCATTTTACATCAGTTAACTGAAGTCAACAGATCGGTTGTTAATACAGTGTGTAGCTAAAGTCTTCACATTAGGTACATGTCTGTACTCTTAAGTATATATTGTTTTGTATTTATATTTTCTTTCATTTTTGATGTCAATAAGCTCCTTGAGACAGAGTCTATACTTCATTCACACTTCAAGCTGCTTAACTAAATATATAGTAAAGTGTTAAGTAAATGGTTATGAATGAAAGAATACTTTAATTGAACTTATTTTCCAAATAGAAGTCTAGTATTATTTTTTTCCTTAGAAATCAGAATAGACCTTTTTGTACTATAATTATATATTGTTAGTAGGGATATTGTATTTCATTTTATTGTTTGAATTTCTTGAGCCAACTTTGCCAGTAGTGTATCAATCATCCACAATGATATACATGAAGATACTAACAATAAAACAAACAAAAAAAAACCCCTTCATTCTACTAAATTTGCATGTGCTTGATTCCCTTTATGTGTCTCTTCATGCTGTTGTCCTTTTATTTGTTGCAGGTTTTGCAAGACTGTCCGGAAGAGCCTGAAGCTATTAATGATGAGGAGCAATTTGATGAAATTGAAGCAGTTGGGAAATCACTTTTGGATAGATTAACTGTTCCTGTAGTTTATCCTGATGGGTATGGTGCATGTTCTTATGATTTTATTTTTTTATTAGTGTGGTCTTAAAGTGAAATCATTAAGAAAGGAAATGTATTCTTTAAAAAGGCAAATAAATTAGCTTTGGTCCATATCTTTAATTTCTACTAACAAATTGGTTTAAAATGTAAAGAAATACAAACAGCTCTTAGTAACAGTTGGTACTTGCTGACATCAGATGTGTTGCTTCTTGACAGCTTGGTGTAGAAGAATGATTATAGTTTGAAACACTTGGTTCTAGCCTTGGCTACGACAATAAGGAGTAGTGCAACTTGGGGCTTCATTCAGCAAAGGGAAGGGGAAAGGAGGGTGTTAAGGTTTAGTGAGTTCATGATATATGCCAAGCACCTTCAATTACTTTCGACCAGGAAGGAGCAGGCCAGTATGATTATTCCCCATTTACAAATGAAGAAACTGAGGCTCAGAAAGATTAAGTAAGTCACTTAGGATTTTACAATTTCTAAGTATTAGAATTAGAATACAATCTCAGGTTTGTTTGGCTCCACACCCATTCTCTTTTCACTGTGCTATGTGGCATTCTAATTTCTTCATGTGTGAAAGAATGAGGTCTTGATTTTCTTGTTACTTTCCATTTCAAATAGTCAATGATAAAAATATGAAACAATCTAATGTAAAATAAGTAGATCAGTAAAAGAATCAGAAGGAGCTTTATCCCTGGTGATCTAGACCTCAGTGAAAATAACTTAGAGGTAATCCAGAAGATACAGAATTTGAAACCACAGCATTAAAGAGAAATACAAGTCTCCTTACACTGTGGTGTGCTGTGATGGATGAGGGTATAGCCTCTGGAGCAAAGGGAGGTTTCTCAGCTCTACCACTTACTAGCTGTGACACCTTGGATGAGCCACTTAACCTCTCTGTGTGACTTCCCTCAGCTGAAAACAGAGATGTATAATCATAGTCATACTTCCTCAGATTACAGGTGTGGGGGAATTACCTGAGCTAAACTAGACTGCTCGGGTCCGTCTAGGAGCATCTATCCCTGATATTTCTGCTGGGGCTTCTCTTTCAGTGTTCCACAGGTAGTCCATGTCTTATTTCCTCATCCTTTTAAGGTAAAAGAATGCATATTGTATATTCCAATTTCACAAGCACCCTCCTTTGATATTTGGAATTGTTATTTTTATTCCATTTTATACTGATTAAAATTTATGTATGTCTATTTTAAGTGTTTTGCTAAATTAAATATTTCTCAAAGGTGTGTATAATGTTTTCCATAGTTATTAATATAATGGTAATGTGTGTATACCATATAAAGTTTGTTTGACAAGTTGTATAGATTTATCTTTCTCATGGTAAAATAAAATAAATTAATGGTCTCTCTGGATTCACTGCTTAAAGATGCAGGTTCAAATCTTGGGTTTTCTACTATGTAACCATGCCAAAGTTATTTAACTTTGTAGGCCTTAGTTTTCTGATCTAAAAAATGAAGACATTAACTAGATATCTCCAGGAACTCTTCCAGCTCTAAAAGATTCTATGAGTCTGAATATAGTACCTTTGCAAGTGGAATAAAACTAAATGGTTTTATCTATTAATATACCAAACGATATTTTAACATTAAAAAGGATATGTATTTTATTTAATACTTGCCAGCTCTACTAGGCAGTGCATAGCACCTTAGTACATGTACATATTTTATGTTTGTGTATGCTTATAGACCCTAAACTGAAGAGCAGAATATTTCCAATGTTGCATTATTTGACTTGCTGAGATTACCATAAGTATATATGATGTGATATTTATACCACTAATATATTAATATTTCTCCTCATGTCTTAACATATTTTATGTCATTAAAAAAAATATTTTTCCTCTGAATTACTACTCAAAGATAAATAGTATGGTATGCAAATGAACTAATTTTTACACATAGGCCATCTCATGTAGGTGCTTTTTCATGATAATTTTTATTTCCATTTGCATTCAGTGCAGTTAATAGATTTGTATTAATCTGGGGTTTTTCTGTGTGTTTTGATTTTAGAACCGAGCAATATTTTGGGAGTCCAAGTGACATGGCTTCTACTGCAGAACACATCAGAGACAGGATGAAACTAGTTAGTCTCAAAAGGCAGCAGCTGAGACATCCTGAAATGGTGACCACAGAGAGCTAATAGCTACCAGCTTCCCCCAGCTCTGCAGTTCGTAATCCCGCATGTCGTCGGCATACTACAGCATTAGCCACCATACATTAAGATGCATTTCACAGCCAGGATAAGACTCACTTCTTTTCATGACACATTGCTCTCTACTCGTTAACACCTTGCAACTACCAAGGCATAATTATTTAACATGCTTTGAGACCATAGACTCCCAGATATCTTAAAAAAAGGAACTATAAACATTGCACTGAAAACTTGCATTAAAGCTTTACCTGACCTGTCAGTTTGTAGATGAACAACTGATAATAAGCTTTGAATGGTGCTAATAAGAGTTTAGGAATTCTCTATATAAAAAAATGGTTGCCCTTCCTCCCCAGGTGATGCGATAAATTTAGACTGTAGTTAAACTGTTATTAGTAGACAGTGGTGTCCTCCACATTTTACTTTGTAATTTTTCTTCAAAATTGATTGTTTTTATTGTGTCAATATGGAGAAAACCCTTCAGATCTTTGATATATCATATTCATTAAAAGACATTTTCCTATTTGTATTGATAATGTATTAAAAGTTGTCTGTGCTTAATAAAAGGCTTCTTTAAACATCTTATTTAATTTGGTAGTTATATCCTATTTCCAAACATGAGTGCCTTATTTAAAAGGGCATTCTTAGGATTGGAAGGGTGGTTTAATATTTGTTTTTTCATGGTGGTTGCATGTATTTTAGCCAGGAAATGTATATGTAAGCATGTGTATATAATAAATAAGCATGTTTTATTAAGAAAAATAATTGTGAAGAACAATTTAGATCTTTAAGAACTTATGAATAACGAATATTATCAAAATTATTTACTACCCTGAAGATACTTTCTCACTGGGGGAGGAGGGCTGAGGAAGAAGGCATACATAATTACTTCAGTGTAATCCTTTATATCAGAGTAATCTTTCTGGAGCTAAAATAGTAATTGTTAATAAAATTTAATTTCTCATGATAGACTAGAAGTAAAAAAAATTCTGAAGTAGTCCAACAACAAAAACTGTATGACTCCTTTAGAAATAAAATTTATCATAAAATGTTAGTGCTTTTAAGTTTGTATTAAGTTTAAATGATAAAATGCATATAATTTAATTTTTGTGTATTTTTATTTCAGAAAAATTTTTTAAAAGATTAAAACTAATTTTTTAGGCTTCTAATCAATACAAAATTATGCAAAGAATTATATGCTGTATTATTCCTTTTCATGGTCTACAAACGTGCTCATGTATCCTCCAATGCAAAAAAAAAAAAAAAAGAAAAAACCTCCCTCTGAACCTGCTGGTTTCTCCAGCCTTCTTTACTGCCAGACTTCTTGGAGAAACCCACTTCTGTGCCCCTACATCTGCCTCACTCACTGGTCAGCACCCTGCAATCTGGTTTTATGCAGCACTGTAATGACACTGTTCTCTTGAAAGTCAGCAGTGGGCTCCCCGCTACTCAACTGAATGGTTTTTCATCCGTCTGCATCCCTTTCCCTTTTCTCTACAACCTCTCCACCCTTGAGCAGCCTTTCCTAGACAGTGCCTCCTCCCTTGAAGATGCCACTCTCTGCCATAACTGTGAGTATGGTCGTATAACTCTTATTTGAAATGTTTCTACTAAACATCTGCTCTCTCAGATTCTGTCCTCAGAATGCTTCTGATTCTTCTCTAGGCATCTCATCCTTATCGTTCCTGTGTCCCGCATTACATATCTGATCCAGAATTCTAGATCTGTACTTTTTTTAACTTCTACTTGACATTTCAACCTAGATAAAGGACTTACTGTATTTTTCACCTTTATCCTCCTGGAGCAATTTTGGTTAATGGTGCAGCCTTTTTTTCTAGTTAAACATGCCAGAAAATCTGGGGCAAAGATCAACTGCTCCCTCTTGTCTTATGCTGCCACTGCTTCCTAGACCATCCAGGAAGTGTTCTCTATACTTGATAAGCCTCTCGGTCCTTTAGGGCTTTACTCCTATGAGTGTGAACTTTTGTGACTCTTCATTTCAGCCTTCATGATGGTGCTAGCCACATTCTACACTTGTTTGTGTCTGTAGCTACTATGTGATAAGCCTTTTTGAGGGAAGGAATCTTGTCCTGCTTCTGTTCCCAATCTTTTGCTCATGCCTAATAGATGCTTTGTTCGTTCTCCTAAGTGTGAATGGTCTATTGTACACATTAGTAATAATCTCTCTTATATTGCAGTCTGAAGTATGTTTTAAACATATTTATTTTCTACAGTTAAGACTGACTTATGAGTGAATGTACTCAGAAGGAAGTCATTTGGTATTTTAGATATTTAGATGCTGGCTACTTTAGATATTTAGTACTTATGCTCAATATCCATTTCTTCTTCTGAATTTCAGAGTAGTTAGAATGTTTTTACTAAGACTGTGTTAGAAAGGAACTGGTTTGTTAGTAATTCTGCCATCAACTCATGGACTTATAATTGCCAAATGAGTTAATTTGCATATACCTTAACCTATCCTGCCTACAAAAAAATAAAATAAGGCAGGATCCATAAATGTTATTTGTATAATAATTTGAATGTTTGCTGCTATATGTGTATCTGTACATACACATAGTTATGAATGAAAATCAACAATGCCCTAATGACATTTTTTTCATAGGGTCATAATTCCCTATGTGAAAAAGTGACTACAATCTGTTTGAAATCAGAAGCCATTTGTATGTCACAAATTAACATTGGCCTGCAAATGTAACTGAGAAAGACCCACTCATTTCTAATTGGTATATGCCACAATCTTCCACATTACTTTAGCCCATCTCAGGGAATTATTGAAGTGTTAGTTGGGCTAGTTTTGTTTTGGTTTTGTTTTTTCAGTTTGAAAGATTTATTTTTTCCTTTCCCCTTCTCATCATGTTTTTGCTCCTGTATAAGCTCAGTATATAATGGCAGTTTTGGCATCTGTTCTTCACACATTTCTAACCCAGCAAAGTTATAGTGCAAAGATGATAACTTCATTTTAGATCAAATTGGCTTTGTTCCCAGTCCTCATTTTGGTGACCTTAGTCAGCTAGGGTGACTCATTGGTGATATTGATGAAACTGCTCAGCTTGGCAGCTGGGATATTGATGGCAGGTCTAGGATTCATTGCAAGATAAAAGATTGGATGCTTCACACACTTTATAGGGATTTAAATTGGTTATTGTTCCCAAGTCTTTAATGTGTTTGTTGTTTTATTACCTCGTAAGTTGATATAGGGTATAATGGTTTATTCTCATTACCTTATTAGTGTCATACTCCTTACTGTGAACCTAAAAATTAAGTTACTTTACTGATAATGCTGAGTAAATCATACTCTCATCTTAACTCATTGGAACCAATGGTGTGATTGTGAGTTTAGCTGAATTTATCTCACTGTGTAGTCTACAGTTGGATAAAGAATTCAGAATACTATATTGTACATTACTTGCCAGTAGAGATTGCATATTAATGTGTACCTCTCACATCCTACTAAAAGTATATAGGGCCAGAGTAAAATACTATGGCTACTAAAAACTAACATACAATGGCTGCTAACATCCTCCACATCTTGGGCCTATAGAGACAGGCAGAAACAAACACCAGTAAATATTCTTTCATTAGTAACAAGACTTGTATGATTAGGATATCTTTGCTTAAGTTCCCAAAGGAAAAATTCTCTAGGGTTAAAAAGATTGGCTGAAAAATCACTGAACAGTTAACCTAATTAGTAAAGTTACCAGTGTTAACTTTCAGTCCTAAAAATAAGAACCTTCAGTTGAGAGTAGAACATACTTTGCAGGTATGTAGGGCAATGCATACCCTAATGAGGCAAAATGAAGTAGATGCTTACCATTTGACATTATTTGACTTCAGTATATGCTAGAGAAAAATCTAGGTTTAGCTAAGAAGCTTAAATAATGGCAAGAATTATAGAGGAAAGATCATAAAAACTAAAATAAGAACTGTAGTGAATATAATGGAAAGAGTTTGTAGTTTGGATACTTGGCTTCAAAATCTAGCTTTGCCATTTACTGTGACCCTGGTTTTAGAAAAAAAACAATGAATTTTTCTGGGACTATGAAATGGAGAAATCAAATAATTTCAAGAATGAAAAATAATCATGTAAAAAGTATTGAAAACCAAAATGTCATATAAAATGGAAGAAATCATTGCTTAATTATCTTTTCAGAATAGAAAATAGACTATTCTTTAATCTTGCTCTTGTCTCAGATGACAAGCATGGGATGGTGGGGGAAATGGTACATTGCTTATATTCATGCCCACAGTCCCATCCTGCCCTTCCCCCCATCCCCAGTTCACTGGGATATGAGGAAAATGTATATTCAGAATTACATACAGAAAATGCTAAGAGTGGAGTTGGTGAGCTCATCGGTAAATAACAAGGCTTTGAAATCTGAGAAATTAGCTGTTTTTATGGGAAGATGATAAACCAGCAAGATGGAAGACAAGTGATGAGTATCACTTGTTTTAAGTTGACAGGGTATGATACAACTCCATAATAGACACAAGTAAAAGAAAGTCATACTTGGAGTGGCTATTAATGAGTCAGCACCAACCTATAGAACAATAAGAGCATAAATCTGTTAAGATATTTATAAAGTATCCTTTTAATGAGGTAAAAAACATAAAACACCAAAAAACCACCATGACTTGATACCACCGTTAGTGCTCGTTATGATTAGAGAAGAGCAATCTCTTCTGGGTAAACCCCAGGCAGTGATGATAGAAGTGACTGGTCCTGTAATAGAGGTAGAGAACTAAGGATGCTCTGTGAGATAGCATGAGTACTCTACAAGCATGAGTAGGGGAGCCTATAAGACTGAAAAAGGTTTGTGGATATGATGCTGAATATGACTCAGCAATACTGCTTTCAAGTTTAAAGCAAACTTGAAAGCTGGAGAATAAAGCTAGTCTTTGTACTTCAAGAAAAAACAGAACGACTAGAACATGAAGAACTTAGAGGTCAAAAGAAAGCCAGAACTATGACTAAATATTTTGAAAGCAGTGAGTAAATTTTTCATCAAGATTATTTTTGTTAGAGAACTCTATGAGGCAAGATATATATAAATCGTATATGTAACGATATAGAAATTCTTAACAAAAAACTAAAAAAATCATTAACTGCTAGATGCCAGGAGCAGTGTTGTTAGGGATTCCAGTCAGGCATGTGGAAAACCGTTGTGACAGGGGCTGAAATCCCTAACGACACTGAAGCCGGTTCCTAGTGAATCCCAAGGAAGCGTCTTAGAAGTGTGTGCAAGTTGAATGCCAGGTCTTCGGGGTATCCAAATGCATCTCTCCTCAGAGGGAGGCAGGAGATGTTCTTCCATTCAGAACAGTGGCCCATTCCTTGTATGTAGTCAAGCCTCACATCTTTTCTATTATAGTTACCCTGAATCTTCTTTTCATTTAAAAGTTGGAGTAAATACAACTTCTATGCTTTATATTTCTCTTTGGAATGTTTCTTCATCTTAGCTCTTATGTGTCTTCACAGCCAATAAATTTGCTCAGAATATATCAGCAAAATTTATGTTTTGTACTTTTTAAAGGTGTGAGAGGGTTGAAATATCACTTTGGCAATTATGAACCAGAGTAGATTTAAGAACTGATTGCTCTCCTCACACTTAGGAATATTCTTTCATAAGCCCTTAAGAGAAATTTAAGTTTCTAAATTGACATTTATCAGAAGAATCGGATGCTCATACTGTCATGAGATCAATAATGAAATTCTCAGCAGCATTATTTTGGAAATGTTGCACCCAATAATATTCCCAACAATTTATTATAAAAATTTTCAAGCATATAAAAAAGTTGAAATAGCATATTCATCACTTAGATACCAGTTAGCATTAACTATGCTTGCTTTGCCATATATCTATCCAGCAATTCATCAATCCAGATTATTTTTAATGTATTTTCAATTGCAGACATCTGTGCACTTCCTACTAAATACTTCATATATATCATTAGCTAGAATTCAGTGTTGCCTTATATTTTTCTTTTGATATAAATTTGCATACAGTGAAATGTATAAAACTCAAGTATACATTCATTTAGTTTTGGCAAATTGCAAATAGTTCTATCATGATATAAAACATTACCACCACCCTAGGAAGTTCCCACATAGCCTTTTTCAGTCAATCCCTGTCCCTGTCTAAACCTCAGAGGCAAACACTTTTCTTCTTTCAACCAAACACTTTTCTAGAACTTTGGGTAACTAGACTCACGCATCATGTACTCTTTTTCTACCAGTCGTCTTTACCA